TTTATTCAAGTCTCTTAAATCTGCAACTAACCTAATATTGTTTGGTGCACCACCAAAATGGAAGATAAGATTGGACAATAAATCAGCATGCTAAGATCAGATGCAAGCAGGCTAGAACAGATGAAATAAAAGAAGCTGAAGAGCTAGAAGATCAAAGACTACCAGATCAAGAAATATCATCTAGGAACAAGGAAGCAGTAGAAAGAATAAAATAGCAAATAACAGCTACAGTCAAGAAGATTAACAGATTCAAGTTTAAATTACACAAGAGGAATACTCTCGAATTTCAATTGAATCAAAGGAGAGACAGCAATGAACCAGTCAGTATCTGACAAAGAAGAAACAATGAACACCTTGGTGCAACTATGGGACAACCCAAAGAAATACAAGAATGCAGCTTAAATAGAGGAGTTAGATAAGAATAAAAAAGGTGCTGAAATGAAGAACTTGTAATATCAGAAATGGTGGAGAAAAGGGTTAGAACGATCAAGAATTGGTCAGCACCAGATGTAGATGAACTGCATGGTTTTTGGTTGAAACATCTGCTTGGTTGACACCCACTTGTTGCCAAACAGTTTAATAAGAGACTGCAAGAGGGTGTAATCAGTGGTGGGATTCAGCCAGTTCGCACCACTTCGGCAGAACCAGTAGCTAATTTTTTGTTGCCCAGGCCTAGAATGGACTTCCGGAAGTGGCATCCACACAGATAACTGGTTGTTCACATATGTAAATCCAACCTCTGGGTGTAATTGAAGATTGGTTAACATCTGGCAAAGTGATAATGAAAGATCCAACAAAAGGCAACTTCAGGCCAATTACTTGCTTACCAACCAGTTTCATATTGCTAAATGGTGTTTTAGATGATGCAGTCTGACAGCAACTAGTTGAAAACAAGCCCTTTCCATCCAGCAGAGGAACAAAAAATCAGCTCCTAACTGACAAAATTATTTTGGAAAATTGCAAGAGAAAGACAAAGTTGAATGTAGCTTGGATTGATTATTTGAAAGCATTTGACTCCCTGCCACAGGATTAGATAATAAAGTGCCTAGAAATAATAGGAATCAGTAGGAATATCAGAAGCTTTGTGCAAAGATAAATGGTATTATGTTACAATAAATTTCCACAGTCTTACAATCCTCTTTTCATTTCCTCCAGTTTAATATGTGTATTAGTAATGGCACCTTAAAGTCAATCAATGCTGTTATACAAATTAGAAAACAATTACTTGTTTCTAGCTCCAGTAGTAATTAAGCAGGAGAAACATTTGCAGGAAATACTGAAGCCAATCCCAGTCAATTATACCATCATCTTGACCAGAAATTCTTGAAATTGGACTATGTTAATTGGGCATGAAGACACTTCTCCACTTTAATTTGTATTAGTGAATAAGATACTCAGACAACATGTTTTTGTTGAATAATTATTATTGAATTCTGTTAAAAAAAACAAAACTTTGTATATAAAAAAAGACACTTCTCCAAGTGGCTTATCTTCTGGCACACCATTTATTACCCTACAAAAAAAAGATAATTAATCTAGGGAGATCCTTTTATTTAGATGTGATTGTTTTAAAAAAAACTAAAAGTGGTTCCAATTGAAATAAAGTAGATTTCTATAAAATTACCTTTCTTCGTTGTTACCTATCCTATGGAAATGTGATCATTAATTGGCATCTCCAGAAAAGAAACTGGTCATAATACAGTCTCTCACAGGTAAGTGCACAGAGGCTCTTTGCATATGACCTGACCGTGTGCTATGCATTACAAAGAATATCTTTGCATGTGCTTTAGCATTTTCCCTCATAGCATAAGACTCTCCTGTTCCTGTGTATGAGGTGTGATTCTGGATTAGCCTGCATAAGATGCTTGAGTGACTTGAAGGTTCTCTTGTGCTTGTACAAAGCTCTACACAAAGGAATGGGGTATGTGGAATTGATATTCAACTGAAATGAATTCAGGAATTATTGTGCAGGAAAAAGCTTTGTGTATGCATCAGAATTTATTTGCATGGAACTAATAGGCCAGAGCATGTGAGTTGATATTAACTCAGCATTTAGTATAATCAGCATTTGACTTGTAATGCTTGTACTGAATCTGTCTAGGCATGGGCAGAAATGCTATTGGAAGTTGAATAGCAATATTGTTTATTTATATGAAAATCACTTGAAATTAGAAAAAAAATGTAAAAGCAACAAGGAGCACGTAGAAAAATATAAGCATATAAAAGATATATACATATAGAACAAATAAAAATGAATAAGAGAACCATTTACCCATCACAAAAGTATATACAGTAATTGACTTCAAGTACTTTCAAATGTGTGACAATTATTTAGCATCAAAAATACTGTACACTATGAAGGGTCATATTGTACAGTATTTTTTCCAGATGTATATGAAATGGTATGAAATGGATAGTTTTAGTACTGTGTATTGTGCATTATGCAATCCCTTTATAGAGAATGCTGTTTGACATAATTAGGTGCCATCTGCATAGTCCCGTCCCTTGGTCTTAATACAGTGCATAATATAGTAAAACACTGATGAATCCCCAGATGTTGGTTCCATCTGGGGAGAAGGAAGGAAAAAGCAAGGATAGTAAAGGCAATGTGGTGATTTGCAGGGTAATTCTTCTAATTGCTCAGACATTCAGCTTAAACAATTTGGGATTGGTTGTCAATTGGGAACAAGGAAACCAGTTTCATATTTTGGAACTGATAGGTGGACAGAGTCTGTGTCACCTTGCCTACCAGTGATTACTTCAAGATTATAGCAAAAGCCATATAGGCAGATTTATACCATCAGACTGAATATGGTCTGAATTAGGGAAAGAATTAAAACATGTTTGAAAATATACAGAGTTGTTTTTAAACACATACAGTACAGATATTCACCCACCCACTTTCACGTAGAGAACTGGGCACACAGATGCATATCTGATTGGGTTAATAATTCCTGGTTTTTTTGCAGGAAGAGTAGTCCTGTGCTGGGAGCTGAAATGTGTAATTGACTTCTCTCAACAACTTCCCTCAATAGATTACTGCCCTTGCTTGGGGTTAGAAATTGAGTAGGTTTGGACCTTTTTCCATATTTAGATGGGAATCCATCAGGGCATTCCTCAGCTGTAGGCTAAGCTGGGAACATAGAGAAACATCCCAGAGGGCTGCAGTGGAAAACTACCTTTGTACTGTTATCAAAGATTCAGTATTTTTTTCTGTCTGCCTTTAGTGATAATAACATTTTCAATCATATTGATATTAAGAAAACAAAGTAGAGATACCAATGAGTTGAGCTCAATTAAAGGATGTCTTTCCTCTTTAGTATTAAAAAAAAGGTAGATGTGCTTTAAACTCTTTTAATAGAATGAAATGAGGAAATATCATGATTTAAATTGCCTTGTCTCAATGGAATGCTTTTTGTTTCTTTAGGCTGTCTACATGTTCTATGCTTTGGCTATTATCTGTGATGATTTCTTTGTTCCTTCATTGGAAAAAATTTGTGAAGTAAGTATCTGCTGGAAATAGTTTTCCGTGTTTATTGAAATGTATACATTATCATGTTTGGCATTTAATCATATTTAATCTCTTATTTTACATTTTTCATATCTATGGCAGAGGTTTCCTGAACATCTGTATATTTGTACCATTTCCTACTCTTATTTCTTTTATCAGTGAGAAACATAAGGCGAGTAGCCTTGACTATTAGTGCTTCCCAAGAAATGTTATTGGTTGTGTTTTATGTTCTCTGAACATGGAGGTTAAGGCTAATACACATGGAAAACATTTTCTCCATTCTGAGTATGTCTAGTTCCTTGTAAATGTCCTCTAGCATATTGAACTTAAAGGCTGTGCCATGCTTCAGATTCAATTCTGCAAGTTGCTTTGTGGTACCTGAAGAATGAATGCAGCACCAGCCAGTAATTCATTAAAACACCCATATCTGTTGCCAGAAGCACATGACTGATATGGAAAAAGACACAGCTGGTTTAATAAGTGACCAACAGGTGTTACCTTGGCATTTTTGCATGTTGCAAGAGAACCTTTCAGAATAATTGATTCTGAAGCATTGCAGATTTCCAGTGAACATGTAAAAGAGTAATCCATAAGCACATGAAGTGCACATTTCCCTACTCTAAGTTTTCTAAATGAAAAACACACTTTTTTTCTAATTTCCATATTGCTTTATTTGTCCCATTTGGATATTTTTTTTCCAAATTGACATGTATTTTAAATGGAAAATTACTAAAGGGGTACTGTACACAGTCTTCTAAACACAGTTATGCCATTAAATGTGTGTACTACTCTTAAAATACCAGCAGTTCCCTATCTTCTTTTCTCCATGCTCTTTCCAAGGGAATTAGCTTTTTAAACACTTAAATTGTACAAGGGTTGTGATTTTCTATAAGGCTTGACATTAGAAAGTGTTTATAAAAAATATGAGCTATATCCAACAGTGTAATTCTACTGCAAACAGTTTTAACTGTGTGATATGTTTGCTTGCCTTGATCTGAATTGGATTGTTTAAATTTAAAAAGTCCCGTTGGGGAAATTTTCATTTCTCTTATTATACATATAAAAATATAATTGTATCTTTCTGTACCTTTTTTGAGGTCAAACATAATTCCAATATAGTAAAGTCATTCCAAAGCTACATAACCCTTTTATTTTATTAGCTAATATCTAGCCTAATATCATCCCCACTCTCATATCATATTTTTAAAAATATTTTGCCATCAGATTTTGATGACACAGTCAAGGGTTCCCAAGATTTTTTTTTTTAAAGAAGTGGTTTGCAGGACTCATAACTGTAGGTTGTTGATTACTGCTTAAAAAAATACAGACTCATCCAGAATGTATATGCAGGAACATTGTTTAAGGAATATTGCACATTTATAAAGTAAATACAATACTGGGCATTTGTACAAACCTTCTGATTATAAAGCTTTCTGTTTCATTTCAAACCTAAAAACTGCTCAAGATGACTTTACTAGTCTAAAACATTCAAACTGAAGTTGGTAGGAAGTGCCATTCAGTAGGACAGAGCAAAAATATTTAGGAAACAGATGAGTGATAACCAAACCAAACTTCCCACTTCTCAATCAGTAGTACAGCCTAGCCTAGGGCAGGGGTAGGCAACCTTGGCATTGCTGGCTCAGGAATTCTGGGAGTTGAAGTCCACGAGTCATAAAAGAGCCAAGGTTGCCTACCCCTGCCCTAGGGTAAAATGCATACTCAGTCATCAGTCTAGGACTCTAGTTCTCTGAAGTTGATGTTACTGGAAAAGTGTCTGAATGAAGAAAATGACTCTACCAATTCTGGAACTCCGCCCTTGGCAAGCCATGCAATGCATCCTTTGTCAGATAGGTATTAGATGCCCTTTGCTTCTCATCTAATATTTGATTGATATGACAGTTGCTTACCTTTATTGAGATGTTTTAATTACACTTGAAATGTGTTTTTAGATTTTTAATCTCCTTTATTATGCCTTGAGAAACATTAAAAGTGGTTTTAAAGTCATATCAATCAATGATTTTTTTTCCCCTCCCTCCACAGCGCTTGCACCTCAGTGAAGATGTGGCAGGGGCAACGTTCATGGCAGCTGGCAGTTCTGCTCCAGAGCTGTTTACATCTGTGATAGGTAACTAAAACCAGTAACTTCTGACCAATAACAGTTGTAAAAATAAGAATGACTATTTGTGGCTGTGCTCCTGTTTGCTAAAGTACTGTATGTGTGTGTCTCTGAAACTAGCTAACGCTGATGGAATAGCAAAGCTTTGTGGCAGAAAAAGTGACAGAATGATTGTCATATATAATGAAGTGGGATCTTGCATGATGCCAACATTCAGACTCTGTGAAAATGGATGTATGATTGTCAGCAGAAGTCTGTTAATTGGGAAAAGATTATATTCGGAACAACCACCAAAAATGTGTAGACAGAGGGGCATTAATTAAGACATACTCCTGTGCTTTCAAGTGCTAACTGTGCTGTTAGGTTACATTAAAAAGGATGGGAAGAACAGTTCATTACTCAACTGGTCATTACTTTGATACGTGGTGTTTGAAATGTGGGGAGAAGCCAGCTCATGAAAGTGGGGAAGTAGTAACTAACAGAGCACATGCCTTGCATTTATTACGTTCCTGGCATTTCTGAGTGGGATGCTGAGAAGCACCTTTGCCTGAAACAAACAAGAGAGGTGAACGGAGCTGGCTTAGAATGCTGCTTTATTTTATTTTATTGGAGGTAAATAAACTGCATTGAAATGGCAGTTGAATGAGAGCAGCGTAAGTATTTTTAATAGGAACCATCTGAATAGGTAACAGATGGGAAGGCCAGATTGTTTGACTGCTACTAAGCAAGAATACAGAGAAAATATTGCACTGTCCACCAGTGTTCAGCAGTGTTCTGAAAGAGGGGACTCTCCCATTCCAGCATCTGATTTCGGGAAGGATGGATCAGGTGAGGGGAACTCAGCTCTTCTAGTCTTTCTCACGGTAGATTTGACTGGAGCATCTTCTGTGTGGTCACCAAGAGAGAGAAGCCAGAGCAGCAGGCAGGGCTGTCAGACGCCTTTGTGGAATGTTTGCACAGGACTCCTTGCCAGATCTCCCGCCATGCAAGGAGCAGCGCTCTTCACTTTGGCAAGGGTCCTTGCTGTAGTGAAATATGCAGTTAGAACAACCTGTCCAGCATTCTTAGGTCTATACCAAAACTTCTATCTCACGTCAGTCAAAAGTGCAGTTTAAAAAATGTGAAACTTTACACCTCCCATCGTTGTATCATGCATTATATGGAAAAAACAAAATAATTATATTTATGCCTTTGAGCAATCACGTATGCAGCTTTTCCGGAATATATTTCCAGTACCACTCAAATCTGAGAAGCCTTTTACATATTACTCTATTCAAGAGGAAAACGTGATACAAATAGTCCTTTTGTTTCATGACAGTTCAAAGTTACAACAGCCTGGGGAAAAAGTGATATATGATCTATCCTCAAAGTTACAGCCATCATACCAAACCCCCATGGTCACGAAATCACAATTTGGGTGCTCACATTTATGAATAGTTGCAGCTTCCTGTAGTCACATAATTGCAATTTGTGACCTTCCCAGCTAGTTTCTGACAAGCAACATCAATTGGTGAAGCGGATTGGCTTAACAATTTCCTGATTCACTTAACAACTGCTGTAATAATGGTGGTAAAATCAGGTCCAATCATGTGATGAGTTACTTTACAATTGCAACAACTTAACGACAGAAATTCCAGCCCCAATTGTAGTCATAAATTGAGGACTATCTGTAGACTGGAAATAGGGAAAGTCACATTTTAAGAGTTTATTTGCAAGAATGGCTGGGAGCAGGATTTATTCCCCTTAACTTTGCCTCCTCTATCTGGTTAAAAAATGCAGATAGCAGCCTATTCCATCATCTCACTTTGAGACACATGTTGGTTAGGGGTCTATGTGTTTTGAATAAATGTTGAGAAATCTTTGCATAAATATTGTTGTAATCCACTTTATTTTATCATGCAAAAATCACATCTGGCTGCACTTGTAATTCCGCACATCTGTTTTAATCAAAGTTTAAATATGCAAAAAAAAATTTGCAGTTCAACTCTGCATAGAAATCTTGTCTGCCTTTTGATAACACATTGAAATTATCCCCTATCCCCAGGTGTGTTTATTACAAAAGGAGATGTAGGTGTTGGAACTATTGTTGGCTCTGCAGTGTTCAACATCTTGTGCATAATTGGGGTTTGTGGCCTATTTGCAGGACAGGTAAGGTAATTCATGGAATTCAAAAACATTTCTAAAACTTCTTTTAACCTGTACAGAATGAGAACTATGTTTCCAAAAATCACTTGTCCCTGTTCTCTCTCTTGCCAGAACCACTATCTAAACCTCACTTTAGGAAGGTGCAAAATGATTCCCATACAATATAGGTATTATTCATAGAAATAGATTCCTGGGTTTCCTGCATACTGTAGTTTAAGGATTTGATTTTCCCAATTATTTGAAAGTGAAACTTAAAATACCACACATACCTGGAACAATACTATTCACCATTGCTAAAGGCATTTTTGAAGGTGGAAAACCACTTCCACATTGCTGCCATGAAAACTATATGAATATATCCATATCGTTACCAGAAGGAAATTATCTGTAAGAAGATGGATAACCTTTTGTTCATCCACAAGTTTGCTTATCTTTGGATCAATATATGCTAATATAAGTAAAGAACTTTTTTTCTTATGCATTGCCAAAATGATTAGTTGAGAGAGTATGAAGAGAATTTCCATAAAACTGATTTTGGGATAGTGAAAATGCTACAAGATTTAGCCTAAAACAAAAATCTTACTGAATTCCATTCAACTTCTTTTCAAGTAGATACCTATAGAAATGCAGTAGCAAGTTTCTTTTAAGTACAATAAGAAATCACTAGATTTTTTTTTTAATGAATCAATGTAATAAGAACTTTTAAAGCATCACCTAAAGAAATGCCAGATCTCCGGACTCTTTTGCCAGCTACAGAAAGAGTCATGCTAAAAAAAAATCTGAAGGTCCCCAACTTCTGTTGACCTTCTGTAAGATGCTAAAGACCTTGGTTTTCCCTCAGGCATTTGGGCAGGATGTTAAATAAACTCCTGCTTTTTTTTTTTTTTTTTACTATCAATTTGCCAGATGGAAGAATCTGTTAGAACTTCCGATACATGGTATACTGACCCTTGTTTTGTTTTTTTTTACTTATTTGAGATTTTACTGTTTGGGAATTTTAATGCACTGTCAGCCACTTAGAGTGGCAGTAGCAAGATGATGGGCCATATAAACAGCTTAATAAATAATATATATATTCATGGCCTCTATCTTATAGTCCAAAATAGTCGTGGCTCTTCACCATAGTGAAAGGTGCTTTTTAAAGTCTTTGAATACCAAGCTATTTAGCACATTAGGGATAATTTCCAGTTTCTTGAATTGTGGTTGGAAGCTAATACTATCTGACTCCAGAAGCTAAGATTCTGACAATCATATTTTCAATTGACTTTTGAAACTAGACCTATATATAATGCATTATAGTAATTTGGTCAGGAGATTAGTGAAGCATGAAGCATTATGCCATATTTAGTGACTATTACAGTACTATCTGTCTAGTTAATGATTAGTACAGAGAAGGGAATTAAATTCAGGAGAAAAGGTATTAATATTCTATTTTTCTATTTGTATAGCTGTTCCATTCATCCTAACAAAGTGTAGCACCTGAATATTTGTTCAGACTAGATGAGTAACCCCTCGAAATCAGCAAGGATTTCTTTAAAAAAAAATTATTCTAGGTGAAGAAATAAATTGACCTAGAATTTTATTCTATTATGATACATTATAGGCCTACGGGAATTCTTAATACAATAAAATCGCACTTAAACCCTAGATAGACAACATCTGTTGTTTCCTCATGTACATGAACCTCATTAATATGGAAGGCTTTTCTTTCTTCCTGGAAAGCAAAAGGAAGAAATAAATTTAAGAATTTATCCTAGATGTAGTTGGTAGAAGTCTGATTGTAATATACCTTCTTTAAAGTCAATCTGCTATTTAAAAAAAAAAAGTTAGTGCAGCAAATATGTAGCAAAAGTTGATGGGTTAGTTCTCTGATAGCACCAAACTCTGGTAAAATAATGTAAGTGTTATGGAAAAAACACATGTAGTATTTAAAAAAAATAAAAAGGAATAGCAGCCTAAATGAAGCATGGGGATGGGTAGATGTGTGGTTTCTTCAGTTAAATTCTGAAACAGGAGAAACTGAGGTCTATTATAGTCAAATGGCTCAGTGGATTTTTCTTTACATTTTATATCTCTTTTCACACATGGTTTTCCCTTTGGCTGCTGATAAAGCCATAAAGCCCTTGGTGTTCATGCAGAGAGTAGCAGAATTATATAACCAGGATAATAAAGGAAACTATTATAAATGGCATTATATGGTAATGTAAATGGCATTTGAAACTAAAATGATTCCAGTCAGACCATTCAAGAAAGATCTTTTATGAAATGCACTGCCTTTTGCATCATCACAGCAATTACACAAGCAATTTTGCAATAGTGATATACCAACTTCATACCTGACTTAAGATAAAGCACTTTTTAAACAAGTCCTAACTTTTAGCATCTTCTGCTTGGTTCCGGAAATAATGGCAGTCACTGAAGCCCCGTAAACAAATACTTTGGAATGAATAATCCATCTGAAACTTTCCATATATTTCATTTTGGCAACTGGAAACCTCATTTCGTCTCAGTGCTTTCATATCCCAAAAGCCTTTGTATCAGATGATCACAGTCGCCATCTTTACTTTTTGACCTATTCTGTGGGCACCCCGGAACCTTTGGAGTATATGGGCAGCCTTTATCTTTCTAAAGGTGAAACAGAAAGTAGTTAAGATCTGCTCATGCCCAGCTAACAGATAATGAACACAGAGCAGGTACAAGGCTAAAGGGGAAGAGAGCTCTGCAATGCTGCTGCTGTCAGCTGGACTACTTCTGAACAAAGATTGAATGCACTATATCTTTGTTCAAAAATAGTCTGCTGACAGGTAGAAAGTAAGGAGGGGCTTTTGTAATGAAATGGAAATAGGCAGCAAGCAGGCTCTATTATTGGCTGCAAAGGAATGGCAGTGTTAAAATGACAGAATAAAAGGGGCCAATAGAAATTGGACAGCTACCATCCCACAGCATCCCCTGAACAGATCAGCAGCCCTATTATCAGGAAAGCATGCCATATTATTCTCATGGCAAAAATACTTTAACCAGAGTAGTTAAAGATCATGTGAGTTGCCTCAGTTATGAGCCAAGCATGAGAGAATGACATGGTATTCAAAAATGGTTATCAGGGCATGTTTGTGCTGGGGTTAGGATCAAAGAAGAGCCTTCACATTATTCCCAATAGCAATTTTATCTGTTATATCCATAAAGTATTGTTAGCACCAACGAATACTAACTCTTGCAAAGCACCAAGCCATTCCAGCTCTTGCAAATGAAGTACTAATTTTATGTAAAAGAAATATAATATTCAGCAACATAGAAATAGACAGTGAAGGATCCACAGCTGTAAACTACAGCAGGTTTGGACTTCCAGTTTGCGATTGCGGCTCTGGCAGATGTGCGGGCCGATCACTCTCTCCGCTGTCCAGTTTTCTCCTGCCAGGGCACCCTGAAAAGGGTTGGAAGTCACCCTGGAGGGGCGACGAGTATGAAGAGGACAGCTTTTCGAACTGATGGGGAAAAGATCGGCCATCAACATGGCCCATCACTAATGCCGCTACCAGCCAAGGCCAAAATTACTAACAAGCACCTTGAAAGCACCACAGAGGAATTGGGTGAGATCTTACCTTCTTTGTACCCCAAGTATTTTCCTGTAAAAAGCTTCTTGAAATTTCTTCCCCCTGTGAGGAGAGAGGGAAGGGAATGTCTTCCTCTCACCATCTAAAATGGCAGTGTCTGACTACCTAGGGGAAATAAAGCCTTGAAAAGAACAACTAAATAATTGAATTTGCACCTTCTTGATATTTGAGAAACCAAAAAGTTCCTACTCTCACAGGGACTTGCTACTTTATCTACTCATAAAAAAGATGAAAAAGAACTTAAATTGGATAAAAACCTAGCCTGGGATTTGAAAAAGACTTTAAATGCTATCGAGGACATCTTGTGGCGAAGCTTGGTACAGCAAGTGAATATTCTTGACAAAGAGACCTACTCATAGCCCAGATCTGTCCTTGGTATTATCTAAAAGAGATTAAAAGCTGAGAGAACAGCTGGACGGTGAAATTGATTTTTAGGAACTGTGGAGGTGAACACTTACTGACTTTTTTTTAAATAAATAGCTTTCACTAAAGGACCATCTATAACCATGTCAGAAATGGAGGAGGACCAGCAACAAATCTAATTATAAATAATTATAATTATAAACTTATACTTGAAAAAATTCTTGAAGCTACTGAGATAATTAAATCTAGACTGAAAGACAAAGGCACCAGCTTAAATCTACGAAGCAAAACCCTGATTGCAACTAAAGAATTTACAATCCAAAAAACAACAGAAGCGGAAGAAATTAACACCAAGACAGAGGACTTTAAAGATCAACAAGTACAACGTACTGAAAATTTAGACAATCAAACCCTGATTGCAACTAAAGAACGTACAACTCAAAAAACAACAGAAGCGGAAGAAAGTAATACCAAGACGGAGGGCATTAAAGATCAACAAGTACAGCTTACTGAAAACTTAGACAATCAAACAACAACTATAAAATTGGACATGACTTTCTGCTTAAACCAGAAGAAACCTGAGGAAGAAGAAGACCAAATCGAATTGAAGACAACTATACTAGAGCAAATATGGAGATCTGAGCCACCAGGGCGACAACTTAATGATTATAAATGGGCCAGTTTTTCTAGAAAATTGACAATTAGATGGTCTCCTTTCATTCAAGTAACATGCACAAGAATGAAGGGAGATCTATCTGATGATCTAAAAGCATTGGTATGGAAGCCTGGTTGGCATAAAAAGAAAGCTAGAGTTAGATTTTAAAAATGGGGTTTTTAGATTTATTAGAGAGGATCCTAAAGTTTCAGCTAATGGGCTAAAGGGAGATTTGAGATGAAGGGGAATTTGATTATTAGATTTAAGTATTGTTGGAAAATAATAAAAACAAGAGATTAATTGGCTTAATATTGGGGATTTAGACTATACCTTTGAATTATTGTTTAGCCCAGATAATGCAGATGATGGATTTGAGATAATAAAGGATACTCCATTACTGTGGTGATGTATTAGGATGAGAAATAGAAAATGTTTATGAAATAAAATAAGAATATATTTAAGTAAGTAATATGTGTATTTTAGAAGGTATAACTTTTGTGTAGTGAAATAAAAGAAATTTGGGTTACCCGAAAATTAAATACTATGGATATTAAAGGTTAAATTGGAATATTGCAATTAAATATTAAAATTAGGTAAAACTTAAAAACAGGATATGGATATGTATAAGCAAAAACACATTGATAAATGTTTCAACTGAATTTGATATAATTAGAAATTTACTAGCTTAAATATGATATAGCAAATGTTAAGGGAAATAAAGAAGGAATTTTTGATGATGTAACCTGAGATATGTATTAAAGATTTTGTTATTGAACTATTGACTAACCCAATCACCACGTTGCTTTCCAAATACTCAAATGTAAAACTGGAAAACTAATAAAAATTTGTTAAAAAAAAAAAACTACAGCAGGACAGAATCTCCTCCCTGATTTTGATCTGCAGATTATGGGTTATGTAAGATTTATCAAGCTAAACTATCATATAAGAAAGAAATCCTATAGATGACTAGATGCACAGTTGGGTGGCTAATTACTTAGGATATATCCTAGATGGTGGGGTGGGGGTTTTGCCCAGTTAATTTGTGCCAGCTATTCTTTGAGCAGCTATAATTCAAATGCTGCTTCTGTTCTCCAGTTCTGCATTTTACTAACTACAAGTAATTCAAATGGACTCAGTCTTTGATCTCTTTTATCATGATTGTTTACATGAACTTGCTGCCCTGTAAAATGATTTTGGGTGTGATTGTTTTGATACAAAATACTCCCTGAAAAAGTTTGCAGCATATGAAGTACTAAATGCACTACATGTTGCAAATAATGCAGGGTTATTTTAAATAATAAATAATATAGTTTTGATTCATGCCACTAAATAAACTTAAAAGAGTATCTTGTTGTATGGAATCGGAAATCTACAGATAGTGTGAAATGTATTACCACCAAACTGACTTGAAACATCCTAGTATCGCAGCCCACAAAATGGATTGGAATTTGATGACAATAATAACTCAAGCCTCACCTTAATGCAATGGCAAAATGGGACAGCAATGGAGCAATAATGAATCAAATCCCCTCAGACTGCAAGTCAGCAGTGTTCACATTTCAGAAATCTTCCTTTTATGAAGAATCAAAACATTTATTAAGAATAGAATAGAATAGAATAGAATAGAATAGAATAGAATAGAATAGAATAGAATAGAATAGAATAGAATAGAATAGAGCTGGAAGGGACCTTGGAGGCCTTCTAGTCCAGCCCCCTGCTCAAGCAGGAGAATCTATACCATCTCAGACAGGTGAATGTCTAGTCTCTTCTTAAAAATCTCCAGTAATGGAGCACCCATGATTTCTGGAGGCAAGCTGTTCCACTGGTTAATTGTCCTCACTGTTAGGAACTTTCTCCTTAGTTCCAGGTTGCTTTTCTCTTTGATCAGTTTCCAACCATTGTTTCTTGTCCTGCCCTCTGGTGCTTTGGAGAATAATTTGACCCCCTCTTCTTTGTGGCAGCCTCTCAAATACTGGAATATTACTATCATGTCACCCCTATTTCTTCTTTTCTTTAGACTAGCCCAACCCAAGTCCTGCAGCATTCTTCATACATTTTAGTCTCCAGGGCTAGGCCTTTAATCATTCTATGCCTCTGTTTATGCAACCCAGGATTGTATTAGCTTTTTTGGCTGCTGCTGCACATTGCTGGCTCATAGTCAAGTGATCGTCCACTAGGACTCCAAGTCCCTCTGGCATGACATGGAGTGAATTGGAAGCACATTGTTCATTTATATATTGTGTTTTTTGAACTTGTGTGAATCTATATCAATCAGCATTCAAAAATGGAATTTTTCCAGATGCCATCTGATTTTGTCATCTCAATGCTTAAACATACGTAGCTTATTTTCTTAGAGAAAAAGTGTTCCTCTTTTCAAGCATTAAAGAAGCAAAAGCACAGCAGTCTACAGGGGTCAATTTTCAGTTTTCACTAAATTCAAAGTGTTATTAACCAAGTTGCCAGCAGCAATAATAAATCCGTTACTAATGGTCATAAATCTCTTTCTGATTCCCTCCCCACCCCCCATAAATGTTCATACATGTTCATAAGTGATCTCTTGGCCCACATCCAAGGTCAGATTCATAAATAGTTTGACACATACTTGGTTTGGGATAGTCTGCCCTGACTTGTTCCCACTTCTGGAACAGGGTTTCAGGAAAAAAAGAATGCTCTTCTTGCTGTGAGGATTCTCAGAAAAACCCATCCCTTTCAGAGGCACGTGTTGCCCTCCTGAAAGCTAAGCCATTGTTCAAGCCCCCAAACTAGAGAAAATAGCCCCAGTGAATAACTGTGGTGGGTCTACTCCAAGTCTGAAGAAAGATGGAACAGACCAACCTATTTACATAGGGAAGGAGGGGTAACATTTCTGTTGCTCATCTTGTTGCTCTCCTGGCCCCTCTTTTACACAACAGTCATTCTGGTATCTCCCAAGTGAAACTGACAAACTAGCCTGAGTCAGCAAGACCTGTCATAAACATCTCACTGTGCAGGTTTACATTTGTCTGAATGCAAAAGAACCAGAATTGCCAGAGCAAGCCCTGCAAATACAGTGTACTGAGATCTGTTTCTCCCCAGTTTCTCTAGCTGATTGCTGTGCTGTCTTGCCAGTGCCCCAAAACCCATTGCCTACTCATCCCAAAGGCTCACTCATTGTCTAATCCAGGGGTGCAAGACGATATTCCAGGGGGTACGAAAACTTGGGTTTTCAAAAGTATAGCGTATATGCATAATTTGTTGCCGTTATTTTGAACTTTTCTAAGGGGTGTGAGAATATATCAGAAGCGTTCTAGGGGTGCGGGGTATAGAAAAGGTTGGGAACCACTGGGGTCGCTTTAAATTTCTGAAAGGGCTGTCATTTAAGGAAACTAGTATCCTTTCCATCAATATTTTATACAACCAATGTCAATTCCTGACATTTGTGTGTGTGAGAGAGAGGGGGGGAGGGAGGGAGGGAGAGAATGAGAGAGAAGTATGTTGCAGAGCCATCATTTGCAGTGAAGCAATGCTCTGGAATTGAAACTTGGGGTGCAGAGCATTGGGGAAGGCCTTGAATCAGGACAGAGCAGGGCAGAATCCTGCTTCTGGAAAGCAAAGATCTGGCCTAAATTGCCCTGATTCACTATGAACTCAAGCTCAATCACAAATCAGAACAGAGACCTAATCTCTCATTGTGTGGAACTAGGTATCTTTTTTTGAAGTAACCTTGACTTTCAAAACTGCAACATTTTCAGATTTCTCATAATGAATAATTGTATATGGGAAACAGCACCCCAAAGTTTCAAATTATTCTAAAACCCTTTCTTGCTATTTGTTTTTGATGCAAACTATGCTCACCAATTCCTTTTCTTTTTGCTTGTTTTCTCAGATAGTTGCATTGTCTTCTTGGAGCCTCTTGAGAGATTCAGGATATTATACCTGCTCAGTTGCTGCACTTATTTTGGTAAGCACTGAGTGGTTATTCTCCTAAATAAAGGTTTTTGGCTATGTACATGTGTGTGTCATACTGACCTAGCCAACCAAATTTTGGTTTCCATTTGTGTATATGTCCAGTTTGCATAGCTAATTTATGATTAGATGTATTGTACAAATCCACAATTGAATAAAGCCATTGTTAATTTGGCCTGGGATAAGAATGTGATGTGAATTCAGTCTCTGACTGCCCTTAACAAACAAAAGAGCGTTCATCTTCCTATTTTGTAAAGATTTTAGTAATGACAGATGTTTTTACCAGTATATATTGATTGTTTTGCTGTTCTGGACATTCCATTTAATTGAACACAAGTCACACTCCTTAACAATTTCAGACTTTATCCTTTAGTGATTTTTTATATTTTGTTCATTGTGATCTGAAAAAGCTTGTTTCAAAACTTTAGAATATGAGGCTTCAGCTTTAGATGGCCACAGCTGTATTGAGCATACCAAATTTTAGTATTTAAAGCAAATGCTATACATTCTGAATTCTTAAAACATGTGTTGTCATTCAGAAAATATGTCTTAATAACTGAACGTTGACATAAAATTTGTTTTATGAATTGCCAAGATGTTATTTTGTGCTATTTCCAAAAGGATAGTTGTTATCCCTTCCTTTCCATCTTTAGATGTTTATTTCTTGCTATATTTTATTTATTTATCCTATTTATGACAGCTGCAATTGCCAGTCCTTCAGTAGTTTGCAGTAATTACAAGCAACATAAGCATTTAAATAAAATGTCCACAATAGGAACTAAAATCAGGTGGCACGCAGAGCCCTCTCTGTGGGCACGCACGCCGTCGCCCCAGTCCTAGGCCTTCAGCTGGGTTTTAAAAAACCTTTTCGCTTTAGGCCTCCGCCGCCATGTGCAAAAAAAAAGAAGGTTCAATCAATCAATCAATTTCAACTTCTCGTGGGAAAAAAAATCTTGCAAAGTTGGAATTGATTAATTGAACTTTTTAGTCCCACCCAGTCTGCCGTTATTACCACAGCCATGCCCACCCAATTGGCCACACCCACCCAATGGGCCACGCCCACCCGGCACCCGACGATACATAAGTGGGTTTTGAGTTGCAATTTGGGCACTCAGTCTCTAAAAGGTTCGCCATCACTGTTCTATAACAATGGCTCTAAAATGGTAGCCTAAGAACATTGATGTACTGGTTTACTTTCATGTAGAGCTACAATTCTGGGCTGCTAAAACCTGGATTAATGATAGTTAGTGGCAAAAAACAAGATGTCAATTTATCTCTTTGTTGCTATTTAGTGGCAGTCATGATTTTTGCAAGGCACGTCTGGTAGCAATGCTAATCCTGTGGCAATCCATAAGTTATTGTCTTCCATTAAATGCGTTTTTTATGTAAACAAATTCAACATATTGTTACTACAGTAAGTGGCACTACCTGGTGCAACTGACATATTCTCATGATTTCAGCTGGATTGAGAACCTATCAATGGTCTATTGTTTGAAAGTCAAATAGGCAACTGCCTGAAAGTCAAATTCCTCTCATAGAATATTGTAAGAAAGTAAAAAAATATTAGTTTATATTGCATGATTCTGTATCATTTATTATCTGACCTGGGATTTTCTTAATAATATCTTGAGATTCCAAGGAACCCAGTGGAAGACTTTGTGGGGCAGGTGAAAAGGTTCATCTGGCACATAATGTATTAGAACATTGGTTGTGTATTAAATATAGCGATTGTTACTTACTCTCATTCCTTGAGGAGCTCAGACATTGGAATTCTGGTTTTCAGCCAGCTCCCAGGGTCTAAAGGCTGGCTGAAGATGCAACCTCTGCCAAAATCCAAGCAGAATTTTTAGATTTTTCAGTCCCAGAGTGGAGAAGTTTCAGAAGCTTCTTGACTCTGGGACTAAAAATTCAAGAGATTCTGAGGCTCTCACACATCCCCTCTGACCCTCCCGTGCACCCCCTTGCTCCCTCCCCATCCTGTGGGGCCTGGAGATTAGAACTTCCTTGATTGTGGGAAGCTGGCAGAAAGTTGCTGTGCCTAACAACTGGGACATTAAGGTAATGATGACAACTGGGACTGTCTGGATTGCCAGCACAAAGCAGTCGCACTTTATCGACTGCATTGCTTAGTGACTGCAATTCCCATCCAATTGACATGGAAGATCAATATGCAGGTTCAATACTACTTATATTGAATATTTATATAGCTGTTATTTGTATGGTGAGCGAGAGTGATTGATTGTATTTTGAAAGTGCTAATATTCTGTATGATGCTGATAGTTATTTTTTCATTTTGATAGAAAATTAAGTAAAGAATAAATTGTATGAATCATGACAGTGAGCCTAATACTTCAAGTACAGTAGGTGGTGTCTCTCGCCACTCAGTGTGATTACTTTATTCTCCTTCCTTAAGAAGTTTGCTGCTGTCTCCTTGATACTTTCTCTTTGCTTTGCTTTATTTTCTTTATTCCGTATCTCAAATGGAAACTTTGATAGGGAAAGTAGAACTGTGCACAATTCTGAAGTAATTTGGAAGAAGTGCTTGGAAACCTCACATAAGCATAACACTGCACCACAGTTCATTAAAACAGTACCTTTCCCGCTCTTTTTCAGCCTCTTGCCAAACTTGATGGGGGGAAAAAAGGAGGCTGCTTTAACAGACACATTCACTTTAATCCCTTGACAACTTAAGCAGTTGTGCCTTCTTCGGGCTCATGCAGAATAATTCTGTACCAGAATTAGGGTCTGCTCAAGCAAAGTCAAAGCAGTATCTTGAAAGCATGCATGGCGCCCGGGGAGTGAAAGTGACAGAAGAAACCATTGCAGCCACCTGGCACAATGGAGATCTGGACATTAGTTCATTCTCTAGTTAGGAGCACCACATCTCTCTGGTTAAGGACTTTACAGAAGCTTTTCCTTTTTTTCCATTGTTATATAATATTCTAGGAATCTTTAGCCAAAATTCAGATGGCAAAAGAGGAAGGTTGTGAAATCAGAAATGCATTTTTGCTGTCCTCCTCTGCTATGATATTTTATTATTGCATGAATATGTTTCCTGGCCTGTAAGTTACTTCATAATGAGGCCTGTAGTTACAGTGATAACTAAGAACAAACAGATAACCAGTTGTATATTTTTAACCACGAAACTATAAAGGAAGTAGAAAGCTAGACATGTAACCATGCAAATACTACTACTAAATACTCCAGGTACCTTAATTCGCTAGTATCATTGTAGGCACATCTGAAAGAAAAAGGACAGAAGTCAAGTAGAAGCACAGGATGTCAGTGCACCCTGGTGGTCACATAGAGGAAAGCTTCTTCCTGGTTTACATCCCAGAAGAAGAATAGAGCTGCATGTTGATTGCCGAAGGAGCTGCTAGAATCAGGGACAGTGACTTCTATATGGAGAGGGAAGGCTTGAATTTTAGAAAGTTTTCCCACATTCAGAATAGATGTGTGTATAGAGCGACATCAAGGGAAAGATGGATATATGATGTACTATTCAATTTTATGCATTTACAGTATATGAAAGCAGTGGCACTATTCAGAAAGATGCCGTATGACTAGCTATATGTCCAATTGAGTTCTTCACATGAAATTCACAGTGCAAAGTAGAGAGTCACATGTGTTGCATGTACAACAACTTAACAGAACTTTATATTACATTTATTGGCTTCTCCATATGGTTTAATATATAATTTTTATTTAAAATTAGACAAATTGCTGTTGGATAGTCAAATTGGAAACTCAAACTCTGACATGGTATTTATAATTGTGATGTATTTAAACTCTGGCTTTCTGCTCTAATTTGCATGTTAATTTAAAACAAAAATTACATGTAATGTATGGAGTTCTACATTACAGATGCTTAAACAGTTTGAGAGAGAGAATGAAATGTGTAGAATAATTTGAGTTATAGAGCCAGCATGAAATACTGAGATATGAGATTCTTTTTTTAAAAAGTAGTAGATATTTTATTAGCAGTCCTATACAGTAATATTTATTTTTCCATTTTTTCCTCAGTTTATTTATGATGAAAAAGTTGCTTGGTAAGTAGTATGGTTGTCATTTGCCAATTAAGAAAAGTAAGGAAAACCAATTTTGGCTAAGAGGGTTCAGGGACCAATTTCAATCCTGTAGGAAAACTAAATAATAAAATGATTTGTCTAAAAAAATTTAAAATCAAAAGAAAAAACTTTCCCAGGACTTTTGGATCGGCCATCAGCATGAAAGTAATTGTCCCAACCAATTACTTAAATGTAATGCCAAATTTACATCTCTAAAGAAATGGTTGATAATTACACTGCAGGTTTTATTGAATGGTTATGATGAACTGTGTCAAAAATGCAGTTGTATTTGTATGCTCTCCATCCATTATATATTGCTAACTCTTTTGTCGGATGATGCTTCCATTCCAAATAATTGAATGTGTGGAATATGCATAGACTAAGACTTATAGTTTGGCCCAACATTTTAAGGATTTATCCTTCTCACAATGACTGGAGTTTTTTTTTTAAGAAGAGACTGGACAGCCACTTGTCTGAAATTGTATAGAGTCTCCTGCTTGAGCAGGGGGTTGGACTAGAAGACCTCTAAGACCAAGGTCCCTTCTAGCTCTATTCTGATCAATTGATCTCAGGAGAATGAGTCATATCTCAAGGTCAGGGGCTGAAAGGAATTAGCATGCTGTTTTCAGTTGTACATTGTGCTCTGCTTTCTCCCTGTCCATCCAGCTTCATTTTTGATACGCCAGATTTCTCCTGGCACCAATAGGTGCCATCTCACTCTCTGTAAGCAATATTAGAGGGTAACTTGCCCTCTGTGCTCCACACTTGTCATCATTCACCATCCCCTGTGACGTTGGCCTGAATTTTAGAAGAAAAGGCAATCATACCGTAGTCATGGAACAGTGCTGCTTATTGTTTCCCTTTTATTTCCTTGGCTGGTCGCAGGTGGGAGTCCTTAATCCTAGTGCTGATGTACTTCATATACATTCTTATCATGAAGTAAGTACAATATGTTCTGGCCTGTTTATTGTTCCATGTTATTATTTTAGACAAATCTGGATTACCTACAGCTCCTACCGTGTCCTTGTCCATCTGCTTGAAAGCTTCTCCTCAATACAGTACAATTTTTGTACACTTTGGCAGTTATATCTTACCCATTTTAATTAGCAGAGACACCTTGGAGAATTTTTTTCTGGCTTCTCCGCTTTCTATTATTGTTCATTCTACTCTCATATTAGTAAAATATAAGAATAATCTAATCACCTGCAAGGCAGCAGAAAAGATCGAGCATTTTTTGTGTCTATTTGTTCCAACCTTGTGGCCATCTGACCCTCTGGAATCCAGATGTGGCAAATCTAGCCATATTGCAGCCTGTCTCAATACTAGCCCACAGATGGGGGGGGGGAGTTGTTACACAGAATGTTTCGTAGAATAAATAAACAGAAGATGATTGAAGGAAACAAAAGAACTCTGTACACAAATATAGCTGGACAGTATATAAATATGGGAAATAATTAAGTAAATGGATAGGGCTCTATTTTCCATCTGTGTACATCAAGTAAGGCAAAGGCTAAGATTTCTGCAAGCTGAGCTCTGCTCTTGATGACTACTTAGACATTGTCCCCGAAGTTACCTTGGCAACAATATAAAAGTCATTTGCTTTTGTCTCCTTTACAACCAAGTCTAATTTATAGCCCTGCATTTATTCGTAGCCTCCTGTCCAAGTATTAAGCAGGTCTGACTTGGCTTAATTGTGTTTGAGATCAGTGAATGTTAATTAATACAAGTCATTAAAACTTGTTCATACAGGTTTCATCATATGTATTATTTTTATTTTACAAAAAATATCTTTGCTCTTTTTCAATATAAACTGTAAGTGTATAACCAGGATTTACCTATCTATGAGTAGAACTCTGACTCCCAAGACAATCACAAAGCATGCCAAAACTAGGAGAGGATAGTGCCAAGATTCTGTATAATCAGACTCTTAATATCAATAGGGAATAAAAATGTGAACAAAGCAGTAACTTTTGAACCATGTTAAAATTTGATTTGATTGGCAGGACATGGGAAATTATGGAGAACATCATCATGGGACATCCTCATATCACAAAACAAGCTCCTTAAAATGAAGGACAGGTTATAGGGCCTGCTGGAGCCAAACTGATTTCTTTTATCATGTAACTGGGCAAAACATCAAATACTGGGCCTCATGAAGATGCCCCAATAGGAAGCATTCTTTAGTAGTAAAATAAAAGGTTGCAGGAATCCAAATGAAAGTTGTCTGGGCCTTTAGTCATCCGACCAATAATTCAAAATTAGCTGCTCTGCTGCTTCTCCCACCATATTCAATCAGGGATCTGAAATGAGACCAGGAGTTGTATAGCATCTAACAGTGCCTAAAATAATCCCATTCTTTCTTCTTTGTGTAGGTTTAATTCCAGTCTTCAGCATATGTTTGAACGGAGGACAAAAAATGTAACAAATATGGTGAATGGATTAGCAAATAATACCGAGATGGATGACAACAGCAATTGTGATGCTACAGTAGTATTACTAAAGAAAGGTAACTGTTCCAGTAAGTCAATCTGCTTGCTTGGAGAACTCTAATATTTAATGAGCTAGAAACTCAGGGCCAATCTAGGCATTATTTTCGATCCAATTGAATCTCATCCATGGGATTTCCTGTTGGGTGCGTCATAGGGAAAAATTGTCAACAAAAGGACCTCAACTGGACCAATTTGCAGAATGCTAGGTCCCATTACTCTCAAGGGGATGAAATTTGAAAAAGTTGTGACTGCTTCAGCCCTGCCATCTGCTGCTGCAGTCACCTGATCCTCATTTTCAATGTTCTGTGAGAGTTTCCCAGCCACTCACACAATCCCTTTCTCCCTCACCCACCCAGCAGCAGCCACTTAACTGTCTACTGGAAGGAAATGGAAGGGAAGGGGAGGAAAGAAGAAAACAAAAGAAATAACAGAATGATAGGGCAGGACAGAAGGAAGGAAGGAAGGAAGGAAGGAAGGAAGGAAGGAAGGAAGGAAGGAAGGAAGGAAGGAAGGATTTTTGATGCTCTTGCCAGCTTCCTGCAAGAAACATCAATGGGGAATCCAACAGGAAGTTGGGAGCCACTCTTACTCCCACTGCTTTTTAACCACCCCATGGTCATTCTGCTTCTCTATTTAAATAAGGTAATATCTCTGAAATGATGACCCAGCAATGGCCATCAACTGAGGTGCAGGTTGTCTAGTGCTTACTAAAGTAAATACAAGTAGTCCTCTATTTATGACCACAATTGAACCAAAAGTTTCCATTACTAAGCAAGACAGTTGTTAGGTCAGCTTTGCTCCATTTTACAACCTTTACTGCCACAATTGTTAAGTGAATCACTGTAGTTGTTAAGTTGATAACACAATTGTTAAATGAGTCTGGCTTTCCCATTGACTTTGCTTGTCAGAAGGTCACAAAAGATGATCACATGACCCTGGGACACTGCAATTGCCATAAATACACGCCAGTTGCCAAGTGGCTGAATTTTGATCACATGACCATGGAGATGCTGGAACAGTCATAAGTGTGAAAAACTACAATAAGTCATTTTTTCAGTGCTGTTATAACTTCAAATGGTCACTAAATAAGTAGTTGTAAGTTGAGGACTACCTATAAAATCAAAAACAGAAAAACTATTTCTTAATAGACTTGTATAGGATTGTACTGTTAATCACAACAGCATTCCATTTGTTTACATGTACAGCTAAAAAGATGTTTAGATTTAGTAAGAAAAAATAGCTTGAGGACAATGCCCTATTATGTTCTACTTTGGAAACTAAGCTGCTGTTTACATTAGGAGCCTGAATGGCTCAAAGAATAACATTAAAACTTTTGCAATTTGTAATATCTTTAGCTTACAATGTGACATAAGATGTAGATTAACAGTGTCATGTGTCTAGAGCACAGTGGATTATTGTTCTAGTCCGTAACCAGGTTAGGAACAGTGCAAATCTGTAATTTATAAAATTAAGCATCCATATACCTGTGATATATATCCATATACCATCATTTTTAAGTTATTTACAATTTATTTTTCTGTCATAAATTATATTTAAATAACCAGAATTTTATAGTGTTTCTCAAAAATATACTTGGCCAACATAAGGAGTTAGAAAAATATGATAATAGAGGCAAAAGAGAGATGTGAATGGACTCGATACATCTAGATTTTTCAGAATTAATTGTATGTTTCTAAAAATTAGGGAGATGTTACTAACATGTTAAGTGGAATTAAGGTCAAAAACACCATAAATTATAGAAATTTCAGATAAGAAAAATTGATGATGTAAAAGGCATTTTCCTTCCAATTCTGTTAATTATTGTTTAGGAAATTTCCACCGCAAAGCCTCTGTAATCATGGTGGATGAGTTGCTGTCTGCATATCCACACCAGCTATCCTTTTCAGAGGCTGGACTCCGGATTATGATCACAAGTCACTTTCCTCCCAGAACCCGGCTCTCCATGGCTAGTCGCATGTTGATCAATGAGGTATTTACTATATTTTATTCCATGGTGGGATTCAGCCGGTTCGGTAGAACTGGTAGCTAATTTCTTTTGAGTTCAGAGAACCGGTTGATGTGTGGCAGAAATGCCACCCGCCCCTGATCGGACCCATGCGACACCTTCTTTCCAGCCCCGATGTGGTCCTCCGTCACTTCCTCTGCCGCCGCGAGCAGTCCCACAAACAAAAGAAGTTTATGGGACTAAAAAAAAAAGTTCAATCAATCAATTCCAACTTCGCGAGATTTTTTTTTTTCACGATAAGTTGGATTTGATTGATTGAACTTTTTTTTTTTAGTCCCACAAACTTTTGTTTCTGGGACTGCACATGACGGCAGGGGAAGTGACGGAGGAGCTGGAAAGAAGGTCATAAGTCACTTTTTTTCAGTGCCATTGTAACTTTGAACAGTCACTAAAATGAACTGTTGTAAGTCAATGACTACCTGTACTGGCATCAGCCAAATATTTTTGAACAAATAATTTGGTCAGAACTCTTTGTCTTTTCATTCAATTTATTTATGTTTTAAAATTGCCTGCAGATTCCACTTTGTTTTTGTTTTCTTCCAGAGGCAAAGATTAATCAACAGTCGAGTGTACACCAATGGAGAATCAGAGATAGCCATCAAGGTCCCTTTCAAACATACCATGGAGAATGGATCAGGGCTCAGCAACTCTGCTAAAGGAAGCACAAATGGAACCGGGAGAGACGAGGAGGCTGCTGAGGGTGGCAGTGAAACAGAGAATGAAAATGATGACAATGAAAACAATGAGAATGATGAGGAGGAAGATGATGACGATGATGATGATGATGACCAAGGTCCATACACTCCCTTTGATCCGCCATGTAAGAAATTGCTGTGTTTCTACCTATCTTTACTTAACATTTCAATTCCTCATCTTTCATTCCTTAATGATGAAATATCTAATTTGGACATATTTACTTTACTTTATTGTACTTAATGGTATTAGAACGAAGAGAGTACAACAAGCAATGTACCTTTATAAATTTTCCTTCCCCTTCATGTCTTTTCCCATACAGACAAAATTAATTCATATTAATTTACTGTCCTTAAATAATTGTATTCTTTGATGCCTTGTAGGAAAAAGGGGAATAATAAATGCCAGAGATTCTTTTCTATATTGACGGCTTTGTAGGATTTGACAGTTTAAAGTATTTTTCCCTTTTGGGTTAAGATAGGCAGCCTGATGTTCCCCAGATGTTTTGGACTTTAGCTTCCACCAACCCCAGCCAGAATGGGATTGTAGAACTTGTGGTTCTAAATATTTTTTGTAGCACCAAGTTGCCTTCTTATCTTTTAGGGGAAAATCTTACAACATCCTTTAATATTGTTTTATATTGTATTTACTGTACATTTTCCACTTCCAAAGCATAATGTTACAGGTCTATGGACACTTGAAGAAATTTCAAAAAATGTTTGCCTTTTTGCTTTAGTTATTAAGCAATTAATATTTGTAGCACTGAAAGCAAAATATGAATTAGCACACATTTCTGTTTTGGCTCTTCTTGATTGGATTCTTTGGAATTAGAGCAGTCCTCCCTTTTGAATGCTGTTGGTTGCAAAAGAGTTTGTAATGTGGGAGTAATGTTACTGGCATTTCATGTGCTACCACTAATGTTGGAGAGGGCAACATCTGAAAGGGGACTACAGTAAAGCCTTCTGACCTTCTGGAAAGTTATTTCTGCACTGAAAACATCCACAAAATACTTCCTGTTTCTTTGCCTAACTGAGGAATACTTAAGAATTCTCTGCAGCCAGCTTGCAAAGGGAAATATTGATGCTGTGGCCAAGAGCAGGGCTTTTCAACCGGTGGTACCCATACCAGCGATGGTACATTGGCACCTGGCAGGTGGTACATGGCCCTGCCCAGCCTAGACAAGTGTAGCGGGGGAGGGAAGGAGCTAAACTGGCAAAGCGCAGGACTTGCCATGAGAGAGTCCTCAGGAGCTGCAAGGCTGCTGGGGCGAGACAAAGGCCCCAGAATCGGCACTTTCGGCTCACCCGGAAGAGAAAGGAGGAGAGAGATAGAAGAAACGCTTTTGGGGAGGTGTGTGTGAGAGAGAGGTAGAGAGGACAGGCTTTTGGGGGAAGTGTGTGTATATGAGAGGGGGGGGCTTTTGCAAACGAAAGGTGGGGAGAAAGAGAGGAGAGGGAGAGACGAAGCAGGGCCGACCAGCCACCTGACCATCAAGGTAGTGGTGCATATTAATAAATATTGAGAAATTCATCATACATTTGTCAGTATAAAGGGAAAGTGATTCAGCAAAGGAACCACCACCAAAGAAGTTAAAACCAGTTGAAAAAAGGAAAAAAAAAAATGTCAAACATTGTAAAATAATCTAATATTTTATTTTATGTTTTTATGTTTTCGTTTATCATCCTGTGTCACCCCTCCTTTTTCCCTTTTTTCACTCTCCCTCTTCCCTTTTTATTTTCTTTTTAGTAACTGAAGGCTGAAGGAGACAACGTCATCTTCCTTTCTAATTGTAACATGGACAACTTTTTACTTTTCCATAGTGTTATAAACTAGCCGTTTCTATAATGACAAATGAATCTAACCAGTAAAACCCAAAATCCCCCCCCCTTTTTTTTTAATCATCACGTTTTTGACACCTTGCTAAGCACTGGTGGTACTCGAATATTGTCATGTCCTAAAGTGGTGCAATTTGTAAAAAGGTTGAATAGTCGTGGCCTACAGGGCCTAGAGAGGAAATGATTATTTAATTATTTAAAATAAAAGTGGTGAATATTGTAAACTGGATGTTGAAAAGATGATCTGTCATTCCAAAACTTAAGTTTATTTGATGAGAAAATTTGGCAGCGATAAACATGCTCATACTTCATTGGGCTTGGTCACTTTTCCAACCTAGAGTTTCTAATAGGGGATCAACCATCTAAAGCAGGGGTCCCCAACCTCTGGGCCGCGGCACACTACCGGGCCTTGAACCCTTCAGAACTGGGCCGGGGAAGTGGTGGGCGAGGGCACGCAAGCGGCCTGCAACCATGTGCACATATGCACACAAGCCCACCACTTGTGCAAATGGAGCTGCATGCGTGTGCACTTGCTGGCCACTCGTGCTGAACCATCCCGTCTCCCATCCCTACAGGTCTGCAAAGCTGGAAAGGTTGGGGAACTCTGGTCTAAGGGCCCCATTACTTGGTTTTACTATTTGCTGATTAATCATTATGACTGCTGTTTGTACTTATTTATTTTGTGGACACTTTTGTTGTTTAAATGCTTTTAATTGTTTTATAATTTTAGAATTGTAAGCCACCTAGAGTCCCCTGTTTGAGTTATGTGGCTATAGAAAATAAATGAATAAATCTCTGAAATTTTAACTTTATAGGTTGGAAGACCATGTTTCCTACAAAAAAAAGGGATTTTAAATTGTACTAAAAATGATCTGATCAGGGTCCCTGAATTTAGTATGCCAGCCAGCAGTATTTCATAACAACCATGTCAGGTGCTGTGGGACCAAGAGTTGTTCCATTGAAATAGAAAATTAATGGAAGGTGCACCAGCATTTGAACTGAAACTATCAGTAGGAGCCTTCAGTTTAGGTTGTAAAGTTTGGAACATGCTCCTTGTTGCATGATGAAGATCTTGTTGATTTGTGTAGAGTCTGCCTTTTGCACTAGTTCTATCTCACACTTTAAATAAGTTCCTTGATCTGTTGCTCTGGTAAAGATATCATCAGGCACAAGACAGATTCCCTTCCTGCACTGAAAAAAGAAAAGAAACACAGCAGGATTTAGAGAAGTAGGAGACACTCAGGTAGTGTTTTTGTAGATAGATTACTATAATAATAAGGAATTATATCTTTAACAATTGAAAGGAGAGAGAACAGCTTCCCACTGTCTTCATTATTAGCAGTAGATATTAGAAATTGCAGAATGAAAAGAGCTTGTTTGAATCCCTCTAGCCTTTTCAGGATGGTGTCCTGCTGATTCTTAGACATTTGTGAAAAAGCATTTGAAGGGGATAAATGCACCCTACTACAGTTTGGCTATTAGTTTAGTGAACATCACTCTCCCTTCAACTGACAAGACAGGCTTAAAGGGGGAATTATCAGGGCTGTTTTCATTTTATTATTGTACACTTCTTTTGTACTTTATATATCATTTTGTGTACGTACAAGGCTCATTAGAGTTAATACAATCCGAATTCTTGAGAATTACACTCTGAGTCCCATGTTCAGTTACCAATGCTCTCCTTTTTTTAGATGCTTGCTCTCTGATGCCTGCTTGAGGTTACGCTTGTTAAAATACTGATTCAAGCAAATGTTGAGGAGGAGGATCTCCAACACAAGTCATGTACTCCTAGAAAGTAATATTTCTTCACAGCAGAACCAAATTTCTTGTTTATGAATGAAGGTGAATAGATGTGTCCCAGGATAATGTTGCAGGATCCAATCTGGGTCGGTCACTGGGAGTCAGAGGTTTAGTCTTCCGAGCTTTCGGACTCACACTGGGCCCCCCATCCTCAGGGATTTTCTAGCAGAGTGTATCCATCCTCAGGAAACTTCTCTCTAGCACAGACTCCGCCGGAGAGCAGTTCCCTAAGGATGGGCCCCAGCACGGGTCTGAAAGCTCGGAAGATTAAACCACTGATCCTGGTGACTGACCCAGATTAGACCCTGCAAATTTTCTTCTTTCCTCGCTTATGGCAGTCTTGTTCATCATGGTCTATGCCTGCTGGCCTAGAACTGAAATTATGCAAAAAATTAAAGACCTCAGTCTGCAAAGGGATAAAATACAGTTTCATACTACTTCTATTTGACTTTATATAGTCACCTTTCCCCTAAATATGTTTCAAATTCTGTATTTTCATACACACTTAGATTCTTTCCCCTCAATAGTGTTAACAAGGATGTAATTGTTATGTATTGATGTGAATTACTTTAAAACCTGTTGGAAAAGGTCAAACGGCTACGTCCGTTTATACCCCAGACTTTCTGTTTACAGACTTGTTAATTAGCATTTAAGCGGGAAAGACTGCTTTAATTCTATTGGCCGCCGCCTAGCGGTGATCCGTATAAATAGTGGCTCAGCAGCAGTTAGTGCTGCTTCTGTTGTTAACTGAATAAAGAGTTGTTGTTTGCACCATTTGCCTCGTCAATGCCTCACCGAACTTGAAACATAACAGTAACAATATTTCCTCCATTCAAGACAACATTATCCTTTAGTTCTATTACTATCATCAACGGTTAATTAACAGGGACCTATCACCTTAACTATTGGGAAGTTGGACTTGTTATAAACTCAACCGTTACTTGGAAAATGATACCCTAGTCAAGTCACTTCCAAGGCCCGTTTCCCGATTTAAAACATGATATAAACAACAGTCTTCAGTCTTCTAGATACTGAATTAAATCCTGTAAAAATTTACAGTGTATCACTTTCAGTTATTGTATTCAGCCCCCACCCTCCTTTTATTTCCTTTTTCATCTGTATTCATTCCCTATATGTTACAGTGAACAATACTTTTTTTCAAAAACTTTCAATGATTATGATTTCTTCAAACTGAACAAAAATATAATTCCAGACTGTATCACATAGGAATCTTGAGAAATATTGAGACATTATTAAATAACTTTTAATGACTATAATGTATTTAATTGCATAATGTTTCTGGCATGCTGCATGAGTTCAACAGGTCTAAAAGTGGTTTGCTGCTGATCTTCATTTCACTTAGTGTCTGATGCATCTCGCTGCAGTGTCCAACAATAGTTAGCCAGCATTGATAGATTCCAGTTGCCCTGATACTGTTTTTCCATTGTGGCGATGTCCCAGTGAAACCTTTCACCATGTTCACACTGACTGCACTAGATTTTCAAGAAAGAAGTCCAAGGGTGAATGCAGAAAATGAATTTTCAGTGACATGTTGCATTTCATGGTTTTTTATGCTGTAGGAAGCTTGTTAACCAGCTGAATGTAATTTTGTGCTCTGTAGATGCCAAGAAATTTTTCAGTGACATCCTTGAATGTTTTATAGGATTTTCTTGGATCCCTACTAACAGATCTTCGAACCGCTTATCATCGATGACGTATCTGATCCACGGACCAACAAAAATGCCTCCTTAATTGTGGCACCATTTATTCTTGGAGGCATCTGTCTCAAATAATGAAAACCTTCTTTGTTCACATTGCCTTCACAAATTTTTCATCAGTCCAGATTTTATGTGAAGCAGAGGCAAAAATATGTTTGTCAGGTCAAAAAGTGGTTCATGTGCCACATTTTTATGTCCTGAAACCTAATTCTTTTGGAGTAGCCATTTCTTTTTAATGTAATGTGACTTTTTTGCATGACTGTCCCATTTGCATATGTAACAATATTACTTGGTATATTGGAGCTGCATTCCAAGTAGGAGCGCCACTACTTTTAGATCTCCACAGAAATTCCAGTTGTACTTGGTGTACTGGTGTGCTTTAACAACAGTTCCATGTTTTTGTATGTTTCTTTCATGTGTGCAGCATAGCCAACAGGTACTAAAGGATGTACATTGCTGTTGTGTAAAAACACAGTTTCTATAAAACAATATGTGATAGATTAAGTTGCAGATTATTTTCATGATTAGCAGCCAAAACCCTGTAAAATATATTCAGGAGTGTTCAGGAATAAAAATCTTTTCTGCCCATTATTATTTTAAACTGCTGGTCTTCGACTATTATTATAAAGTCTATAAAGGTATATCTTTCTGTCCATCCATCCATCTATCATCTCTCAATCTTTTTGGCAATATATGAAAGTTTGCAGACCTGAACGACTCAGATTTCTATACTTCTGACTAACCATATTCTCCACTGCTTTTAGCATCGCTTTGATTATTTATTAAAGTGTGGCATAAGAAGTGCAAGTAAGGCTCTTTGGATCTTATAACATGTATTGATTTATTTTTTTACAGCTGGGATAATAGAAATTATCAAGTGGCTCTTCACCTGGCCTCTGTCTTTGCTCTTATACTTCACGGTGCCCAACTGTAGCAAACCCTACTGGGAGAAGTGGTTCTTGGTCACTTTTGCTTCCTCTACACTCTGGATTGCAGCCTTTTCCTATGTGATGGTCTGGATGGTATGTATTAGGCTTGAGTAAGATAGCTTTAGATTCGGTAGATGCACTGTCTTCTTGCAGTAAAATCTAGCCTTCATTTTCAGCACTAATCAGCCAGAAGCTCATAAGGAAGATGTTATTGTCCTCCCAACAGTTGTCAAGCAATCAGTGAAATGATGTCAGGAGTGACAAAACTCATACCCCCAGGTGTACCTGCAGCCCCTCCTTGATTAACAGCCATTGCCCATCCCTTCGTCACAATTGTAAAAAACCAGAAGTACCATTTTCTGCCATTTTTGAGTTAGGAAAAGCAGAAAACTATGGTGTGTATATCTTAAAACAGGCTTGTGGGCATTCCCTTCCCCACAAATCTCAGGAAAAACAAAATTCTGAACTGGTCCATTTGTCCCCCCCCCCCCAAATAATTATGCCTATTGAGGGTGAAGGTTCATTCTCTGAGCTTATGGGTTGGTTTCCGAACATTTTGTTACCAAGCTAGGTAACATCTTCAGCAGAGTTTAGGGGATGTTAGTGTTCTTCTGTTTATAAGGGCTTCAAATTATGAGTATTCTTAAAAGACAGTAAATTGGTCTGTCCTATGTACATTTTCCAAATCATTTTGTAAAAACCCACATCCTCTAGCTCACAGGTGTCAAACTTGCCGCGTCACGTGACGTGTTGCGATGTATCGTGACTTTTTTTGCATTGCCAGAGCTGGGGCGGGCACAGCCTCCGTATGATGCAACCGGCCCACAGGCCGGCAGTTTGACACCCCTGCTCTAGCTAATCCCAACAAGTTGCCCACCTCTGAGTGTTTCAAGGCAATCTAAAGAGGTCTGCTTTAAACAAGGAAGCATCTTGTGCTCTTATTTATCTCGCTAAATAAGACATCTTTACTCTCAGGTAGAAATTACAAATGAAGTTGAGCAAAGATCCATGGGACTAGTTATAGAGCATATCCTCTAAGGCATGGGTGTCAAATTTGCTGCATCAAGTGACGTGTCGCGACGTATCGCGACTTTTTTTGCATTGCCGGAGCTGGGGTGGACGTGGCCTCCATATGATGCAACCGGTCCACGAGCCGGCAGTTTGACATCCCTGCTCTAAGGAGACAGTGATTCAAGCATCATAATTGAAACTGATGAAATCTAACTATTGTTAGCTATTAAACACCCTCATTGTTGACTATATGAAAGATGGCATCCATTAAACACCCTCATTGTTGACTATATGAAAGATGGCATCTGAATATATCATATTTTGTCAGCAAAATAACTCATTAAAATTAGTACAAGCTTCTTGATATTCTCTAAAACAATTTTGGGAAGAAGAAATGGGAGTGCAAGTCAGTCACTTACAACCTGAAGCAACTTAGCAGATCATAAGGTTGTGAGTGCCTTATGTACAGAACTTCCCACCCCCCATGCTTATTTGTACTACATCACTATAGTACAAGTCTTGGTTATGGACTGGTCATTGCCTGCAATGAAGATTCTTCTCTTTTCACAAGCCATGAAGTGGTTTTTAAGCTGTGCTTCTTAAATTCTGTTTTTCCTCCATCTGCCTTACTATGTTAGTAGCTAAGTTTGTGTATACTGCAGCAGACCAGAGAGTGCATTCAGTAACAATCAGTGCTTTTTTTCTTAAAAAAAAAAAAGGTGCTGGAACTCACACACGTCATACAACCCGCCTTGTCTGCCCTACAAGGTTCCATCCAAAAAAGGTGCCAGAACTCCATTCTGGGCGTTCTATAAGAAAAAAAGCCCTGGTAACAATTGTTGAGAGTGCTTGCATGCTCCCTATTCTAGATTTCATCCATAATATCACCCAAACCAGTTGCAGCACAGGCTTCTTGGAATCCAATTGGATCTAATAACTTTTTCAGCCAGAGTGTTCTAATAAGTACTACTGTTCCTGCAGAAACTAATTGTAGCCAAATGATGATCAGTGGGAAAACCTAAAGTGTCTCCATCCACAGAACACCTCACTGAAAACCAAATGGCAATATAGACAAGTGTTTAAGCAACTTGACAATTCATTTTATTTTTCTAGGTCACAATCATTGGTTTCACTTTGGGTATTCCAGATGTGATAATGGGGATCACATTTCTGGCAGCTGGAACCAGTGTACCAGATTGCATGGCAAGCCTTATTGTGGCACGACAAGGTATGTTTGTAATTTGTTATATATATAAATATTACAGAGTTCTTGAAGATATTTAAAAGGCATTCTTTAATTCTGCTTTGGGGTAAAGAAATAACAATTGCTACAATAGAGAGTATATGTTCATAATATGGAAAAGAGTAGTCTCTTTTCAGATAGGGAGGCAAAAAAATAATAACTGAAGAAGGATAGGGAATGTCTTTAGACTTGCATGCCCTTTTCTTTCTATTTCCCATCTCTCTTTGATTTTCCACCATAGGTATGTTATGATGGATTACACGGATGACAACCTGAAATATAGGGCCACACCTCTTCCTTTTCTTTTTCCTTTATAGTTCCATCCTCCTTATCTTTCTTTTCATTTTCTTTCTCTCTCTCTTTTTGCAGCCCTCAGAACACTGAAAATAACTGCTGAAAATCACAGCCTCATCCACTTTACATTTTTGCTCACCTATCCCAATATTAAATGTATTGGTCTAACCTCTAAATAGGAGGGTTCTAGACTTTGTCATCTCTACAACACTACATTTATTATGCCGAAGACATAATATTCCTGTGATGCAGCATATGGCAAAGAATGTGATGCTGGTAAACTGAGGCATTGCAAATCACATGACTACCCAAAACAAATATGCCAGCAGCAAGCATGCCAAGATTAGCACCCTTCCCAGACTGAATTCTAGCCATACAGGATCCAATTCTGTATTTTAAAAACAGAAAATGAGTAGAAAATTGCAACCAAACGTAGAGTTGGAACTATGTGGCTATCAGACTCCTTAGTGTTTTAGTTTTTTAGGATTGGGATTTACCATTGGGATTAGAATTAAGGTAAATTCTAATTCCAATGCTGGTTGTGATCTTTAAAGCGTTTTGTAGCACAGGCCAGGTGATTTGAGGTACTGCCTCTTCTGACTACATCTCATCACATCGGGTCCAGCAGAAGAGGTATGCTGTAGGTCCTATTTGCCTAATCAGCTATAGATTTAGGAACTTGCTTCAGTAGTTCTGTTTTGTGGTAATTCTGACTTATTTACTTTCTTGTGTTGCAGGAATGGGTGACATGGCCGTTTCTAACTCCATCGGAAGCAATGTCTTTGATATTCTAGTTGGCCTTGGCCTTCCATGGTCTCTACAGACTCTAGCAGTAAACTATGGCTCTGTTGTAAGTTATATATTTGGCTGAATGAATGCAAGGGCATGAGGTGGAAGATAACTTTCTAGACATGTGCAAAACTCAGAAGAAATTAAGAATTAAGGTGGATAACAATTTTGACTGGTACCGCCTTATTGTTAGCAAGGAATACTACCTGTGGCATGGATACAATTAAAACTGGTAGTTTCTCTATACACCTTCTCTACATAACTAAAAAGTTTACCTGTTGGTATCATTATTTAGTATCCCAATCCAAAAAGACTTTTTAGTAGCTTAGCTGTCTTGGTTTCAATAAGAAAATTAAAAGGGAAGGGGGGGAGAGAATTATATGAGAAGCATAAAATGGTATCATCTAGAATAAGCGTGTCCAACCTGCAGACATGGGCTACTTGCTGCCCTGGACAATTAGTAATATGATCCCACAAGACCCCCCCAAAATAAACAAACTTTGTTATTTATATGTGACTCAAGACAATTCCTCCACACTCAGTGCAGACCCGGCAGGCCAAAAGGTTGGACATACCTGTTCTAGAATGATGTGGATGTGCGCTGAAATAGGAATCTACGGATTGGTAATAGTTACAGGTTACGCTCCAAAGTGTAGGGATAATTGTTTGGAGAAACTCCACTTTTCTGTCCCCTTAAGTGGATCAGAATGACTACACTTATAGTATGTGAAGTAATAGTATTTTTTTAGCATAATAATGCAGGAATTACCATATTACCTTCAAATACCTCATAAAACTAAGGTGCTGGAAAGTAGCAACATAAAAAATAATATTGATAACACTGAAATATTAAGAGAATAACAAGTGACAGAAAATAGTTTGCAAACTATTATAAGTCATAATGCCTACTCTCCATATACTGGTAGGCATCTTAGAAATCTGCTTCAGTCCAAGTTCCAAGATCCTTTTCAATGGACTTAAACTATATACTTACACAAGCATCATTTCACACCCAGTGCTATACTACAATACCTGTGTTATTATATTTATAACTGGTTTACACGAAAGAAAATAAGAGCTATTTTCAGAGTCACATGTCAAGAAATCAAAACAAAACAAATCTGTTTACCAAGCTCTAGGGGTACAAAAGCTAGTATCCAAGCAGTCAAAATAGAAAAGGGAGCAAGTGGGAGCAAGCTACTCTACAGAGTCAAAACATTGATTGTTTTGCTGCTGTGGAACTGGATGTTCACTATCCATCCAATGTAAAAGTGCCCCGCCCTGTCATAGCAGCTTTCTGAGAGGAAGAAGAAAAATCAGATAATCCCATTGCATTATGAATTGGTTTAGACCCACTAATGCAGTCCCAAGAATGGTCCCTGGCAAAAAGAAAGGAAGAGCATTGTGAAGATGAGAGAAACTTGAGAGTAATCCAGTGTGGTTAGATGACCTTACAATTAGACCTGAGGGAGCTTGAAAAAACACTAGCTGAGTATAGATGAAATAGTAGTTGCTGCAAGAACTTGTGTTTGGTTAAGATTAGCTCTTCATTGAATGACTATCTTAGTTGTGTTAATTTGTCAACACTGATTATCCAACAGTCAGTGCACTCTACTTTTTCTGCTTGGATCTTAAATTTTGATCTCCAGACCCTTGTCTGAGTTTTGAGCTGGTTTTGCTTTTGACTTCTGAGCCTGTTTGCTAATTTCTCTGTATTTCTCTGGCTACAAGTAATTCTTTTGTGCAATAAGACCTTGGACACTTATACTTTGCTGTTCTAAATCCTTGATATAGTCCTATATAAATATAGTTAGGTAATAAACAAATACAATAAATGTAAAACATAATGAGAATAAATATATCTTTGAGAGCAGTATGGCTAGAAAAGAATAAACAGTATCAATTTTAACTGACCTATTTAGGGATAAGTAAGATTTGCTAAATGTAAAAATAAATGAAGTTAAAATCCATATCTAATGGACAGCTTAAACTAGATTATAATAGGAACTGAAATTTATATTCTATAACTATAATGACTGTAACATAATTGAATTCTTTAGTACATTCTGTCCTACATTTAATAAAGTAGAGCAGACATGTCAAACACAAGGCCCAGGGGCCGGATGCGGCCCGTGAAGTGGTTTCATGTGGCCCGCGAAGCCATCCTGGAAACAGTGAGGGAATGGCCCCCGCTGCCTTGGCCCTGGCCCAGGCCAGCCGGGAGCCAATGTAGAATTTTGTGGTGGCCATCTTGGCACTTGCCCCAGTCCCACCCCCTTCTGCCAGAGACCCTCAGATCTGTCCCACTCCTGCCCAGGCCCCCCATAGGCACCCTTGACATGAATGATGTAGAACTGGCCACGCCCACCCAGTAGGCCACACCCACTCCATCCACTCCCACCCATTAGGCTGCACCCACTCTGGCCACACCCACCCGGCCCCCCCAGGGCAACCGCAATGCTGATGCGACCCTCAGTGAAATTGAGTTTGACACCCCTGAAGTAGAGCAACCAGATTTGGGGCTGCAAAAATCTGGATAACCACTAGATGGTACCAAAGTCATACAATCTGAAAAAGGACTAAGAGAAAATGTAAACTTTTTTACAGATTGTACAGGTAGTCCTTGACTTACGACCACAATTGAGCCCAACATTTCTGTTGCTAATTGAGACAGTTGATAAGTGAGTTTTGCCCCATTTTACGACCTTGCTTGCCACAGTTGTTAAATGAATCCCTGCAGTTGTTAAGTTAGTAACACAGTTGTTAAGTGAATCTGGCTTCCCCATTGACTTTGCTTGTCAGAAGGTCACAAAAGGTGATCACATGACCCCAGAACACTGCAACCGTCATAAATATGAACCAGTTGCCAAGCATCCAAATTTTGATCACGTGACCACGGGGATGCTGGAAAGGTCATAAGTATGAAAAAAGGGTCATAAGTCACTTCTTTCGGTCCCACTGTAATTTCGAATGGGCATTAAATGAACTACTATAAGTTGAGGACTACCTGTACTTTAAAAAACAAGTGTGAAAATGAACTGCAGCCTGAAGTCGCATCTTGAGATCCTGTGTGAGAGCAACCTGCCATATGTTTGAAGCAAGTTCCAAGTTCAAAGAGTCAAAAGAACTGGAATGGGGCGTGCTAACCTTCAGACGCTTTTCAGCTCGTGCCAGAGTAAGAAAAAATGCCGGATCCAAGAAAGGAGGTGCTTCAATGGAAGCTGGCAGGGAAAACCTTTTATCCATCACAACCCTTTAACAATGCAGCCAATTACTGAGAGAGGGTCAGATAGCATTGTATGTATTAGCTTAAGCAACTTGGCAATTCATTTTATTTTTCTAGATCATAGTCATTGGTTTCACTCTGAGTATTCCAGAGGCGGGATCATATTACCAGATTTCAGGGCAAGCCTTCATGTAGCAGCATTGTAATACCTATTAATATTAATGTACATTACAGTAGTTTGGCGCACACTTTCATTAAGTTCATTTCAGCTTTAAATTTGTTTTATCTCTATGCCGTATTTGTATTTTGCTTTCAACGATTCAAGAAAGAGAGAAGAGAGATAGCCTCATAGAGAGAAGTAAGCAGAAGAGGGAAAGAAACAGTAGGGATGTAGCATTTGTGTATTCTAACCTTTGGAGTTTCGTGGAAACATAAAACTCTTTAATGAGGGTAATTTGGTTCCAAACCACTACTGGTGCATTTATGGTTATTTACGGTAATGAAAACAACAATGGCAAAAACAGGTTGAACAGGAAGCATCAGGCACTTTCCTCTCTACTCCCCCCCCCAAATTGCACAGAAGGAACAAACAGGTAGGCACACACTTCAGACACCTCAGAGTATGCCAGAGGAAGAAAAGTTTGCCAGATCCAAGAAAGGAGGTGCTGCAATGGAAGCTGGCAGGGGGAACTTTTCATCTGTGACAATAAATTTAACAGGCCAATGTACTGACAGAGATGGCAGCCATCTCTTTAACAGATGACTTCAAGCATAATTGTGAAGTTGTCTGTCAAGGGTGTTTTAACTGTACCAATCGGGGGTTAGACCTGAAATGGCTCCTTCCAATTTTATAATTCTATTATTTTATGTATGGCCTGCAATAGGTTGGTTTTGGCTTTAGCATCAGGTCCTCATCTTCCCTGAGTCAAGTGCGGCAGCAGAAATAGAAAGCAAAGAATGTTGCTCTTCCCGTTTTTTTTATTTTTACTCTCCATGCAAGGGAACTGGAGTCAGCTTGTTTTGAACAGTATATTGTAAACTCATCTGTTTATTTAGTGAAATTGTGAAGGGAATTTTTCCCCTTTCCATCCTGTGAGAAATGGAAACTCCACGGAGCAGCCCCAATCTAAAAGACTGCCTCATCCCCCTTAAGAAGGAAAAAGGGCTTAGGAGCCCTGGTGGTGCAGTGATTAGAATGCAGTATGGCAGGCAAACTCTGCCCACAGCCTGGAGTTCGATCCGGATAGGGCTCAAGGTTGACTCAGATTTCCATCCTTCCAAGATCATTAAAATGAGGGCTCAGATTGTTGGGGGCAATACGCAAATAATGCTTGTATTGTAAATCGCCCAGAGAGTGCTGCAAAGTGCTATATAAGTCTTAAGTGGTATTGCTATTTCTACTGAATAAGTGTTCACCTATCATGATGTGGGAGGGGAGAAAGGGAAGCCCTTTCCTCTCTGCGTGTAACATTCTCAGTTGATGGCATGAGCGATACTGATAGGCTTCCCTTCCCTTTGAAATGTCTCCTTAATCCTGAGACGTGATTTCCTGGTCAAATCTCAAGAGGACTTACTCTGCAAATCAGCTTCCTAATGGTTGGTGCTTAAATATTGCTTTCTTGACACAGCTATGCAATCCTTTGTCTGTTGTGAGAAGAGGAAGCAATGATGTACCGGTAGTGACAATGAAATATGCTATAGCCATAAGGGGGAGTTATTGGGATACTGGTTCATCTTTCATTTTTCTTAACTTATTCTTTGTGTGCATTTCCTGATTCCTCATAGATTCCCCCACCCATTGGACTTTTCTCCCAGTGTGACACTGATGATGCAAA